TGGTGTCCGACCCACATAAATTCGTTTAAAAGTGGTCGGTGGCGACTCTAATCCATATTTTTCAAGTCGAAGCCCAATTCTGGGGCACAACCGAAAGACGGTTACGACAACACCAAAAAGAATTTTTATTTCAGATAGTTTACTCTTAATAGTGTGGTTTTATTAAAATTATATTCTTGATCCGAAATTTGTGTTAAAAATTAGAAAGTGTTAAAGTTTGGTAAAAATTTGATAAATCGGATCGAATATAAATTTCAGGAAAATTTGAAGAGTATTAAATTAAGCTTAGAAATATTATTTCCACATGTTAAAATGATGGAAAATAATATGGACCATTGGATTTGAGAATTAATTTTCATGTTCAATTTGGACCGTTGGATGAAAATGGCATGGGCAAAGTTGGAAAGGGTAAGATAATTGGTTTATTTTTTACTTTTTATTTATGATAAGGTTTATGTGGCTTGGTATTAAGATAAATATCAAGTTTCATTAAGGGTAAAATGAACATTTCTCATTAAATGAATGTTTTATTCATTTAAGCTTAAATAAAGGCTAAATTAACAAGAAATTAACCAAAATTTCATGAAACCGAGCTATTTTTCAGTCAACATTTCGTGCTCATTCATACCTAGATTGTATGTTGGAATCAAGATCAAACATTATTAAATCTAAGGAGAAGCTTAAGGATGGAATGTGAATCTCTAAGGAAGGTTTACAAACCAAGGACACCAGGTGAGTGCATTTAATTCATAATGTTCGAATAAACATTGGCATGTGATGAGCCAGTGTTGGAGTTATGTTAAGAAGTGACTCCTAGTGTTATATGAAGTATAATTTAAGCTTATATGTTCATTTACTAAGCTAATATAATTAGTGAATAAGTTAAGGACACTAGTTGGTGAAATCTGCCTAGAAATTATGTTGAATAGTAAATTTAGAAAATCATCAAAAATTATACAAATATGATTAGGGGATGAAACTTATACCATTGAATTTGTATATCAGTCTAGTTTCATTTAAAAAAAATGGAAACTGATTTCAAGAAGTATACAAAATGATGGAAAATGATATGGACCATTGGATTTGAGAATTAATTTCCATGTTCAATTTGGATCGTTGGATGAAAATGGCATGGGTAAAGTTGGAAAGGGCAAGATAATTAGTTTATTTTTGAATTTTTATTTATGATAAGGTTTATGTGACTTGGTATTAAGGTAAATATCAAGTTTCATTAAGGGTAAAATAGACATTTCTCATTAAATGAATATTTTATTCATTTAAGCTTAAATAAAGGCTAAATTAACATGAAATTAACCAAAATTTCATGAAACCAAGCCATTTTCAGCTAACATTCTGTGCTCCTTCATACCTAGATTGTGTGTTGTAATCAAGATCAAATAATATTAAAGCTAAGGAGAAACTTAAGGATGGAATGTGAATTTCTAAGGAAGGCTTACAAACTAAGGACATCAGGTGAGTGCATTTAATTCGTATTTATGTTTCGAATAAACATTGGCTTGCGATGAGCCAGTGTTGGAGTTATGTTAAGAAGTGACTCCTAGTGTTATATGAAGTATAATATAAGCTTATAAGCACAGTGTGTGCTTATATGTTCTGATTATGATATATTGTGGTGTACCGGTGGGTGGACTAATATATATATATATATATATATATATATATATATATATATATATATATATAATTAAAATTAATTTTTTTATTTTTTCAATAATAAAATATTATTTTTTAAAATTAAAATTTTATTTTTTTTAAAAAGTAAAAATATTTGAAAAATCATTTTTAGAAAGAAAAAAAGATGGGTCCCACCTCACCCTCACCTCCCACCCAGTCCCCCTTTTCTCCCCTTCCCTCGCAGCAGCTTCCCATTTTGCTAAAATGGTGAAAAAAATGGCACGGTCGACAATGAAGGTCGCCTATGGTGACTGCTGCCTTCGGTCCCCCTTCCTCAGTCTGAATCATTGAGATTATTGGGATTAAATCCCATCTAAATCACTGATGCCGGAGGTCTCTCACGGAAGCTGCTCTCAACCTGACGTTGGGGCAACCTACTATTCTATCTCCACTTATCCCATTACATATGGGAATAAGGTCAGCTAATTTATTTATTTGAATTTATAGATTTAGAGAGATTCGAACGATGATAAGAGGGATGGTAGGCAATGGTAGTCCGACGACGAGTGGGTAGCCATTTGATGATGGTAAAGGCGACCAGTGATGGCCAACGACGGCTGGTTGTGAAATGGAATGGAAGATTTTAGAGTTTTAGGGATTTGAATGAAATAGTTTAGAGTTTAAGAGATTTTTTTAAAATAATAATATTTTTAATTAAAAAACTTTAAAAAAATATGAGAGTAATAGCCAAATTTAACAGTCGTTATGATCTAAATACCTAAGAGTATAACGAAAAAAAACGTTATACATATAATTTTAACAATTTTTTTTTGGACACTAAAATATTTTTCAAAGCAATAATTTAGACAATTATTGATTATGCCGTGTTCTTGGAACCTATCACTATCGTTGGCTTTAACTTTTAATATTTGATATTAAATCACGATGGCTAAATTGATATTGAATAAAAGATAATGAAAATATAACTTAATATGTTTTTCGGAAAATGTTTTTCCGTAGAGTGAATTATATTTTTTCTTTTGAAAAACATTTAGAAAACGTTTTACGATGTTTGAAAGATGTTGCTTAAATATTTTTTCCACTAGTTGATGAGTTTTTTTAAAAATTATATATTACAAATATTAAATACAATAAATAATATTATTTATCATAAAACTTAATATTATTATTTTTAAAATATTAAAATAAATTATTTATTATTAAATATTATTTTTATAATTTTATTAAAAAATATTAATATTGGTATATTTTATTGAAATAAAAATATTATAAATTACATTAATTATTTATTAAAGTAATAGTATTATATTATATTTTAAAAAAATTAATTAGTATAATTTAAATATCTTTATTAAAAAATTATTAGATTATTATATTAATATTAAATATATAAATAATATTATTCATTATTAATAATTTAATAATATTATTTCTATGAAATTAATAAATAATATAACTTTTATTAATAATTTATTATATATTATTAAAATAAAAATATAATATCTTATATTATTATAATATAATTGATTATTTTATTATAATATTAAAAATATAATATTATATTATTAGAAATATTAATAATTAATATTTTGATTAAAATGATATTAAAATATTTTATTAATATTAAATTTATAAAATAAAATTATTTTGAGTATTTATTCTTTGAAGTGAAATGTTCGAAAAATGACTTACAGAAAATCAGACCGTAAATCATTTTCCGGAAAAAACAAAATTTTGTTGACCAAGAAAATATTTTATGTTGACCAACTAGTTTTCCTCTACCCAAACATTCAAAACATTTTCTGAAAAATGAATTACGTAAAACAAACACGGAAACATATTTTCAGGAAAACAAATTACATGAAACAAACACAAAATTTAAGAGAAAACCAATTCCGTAATTGGTTTTGCCCCAAACAAACATATCCTAAATAACTTACTATTACATTTTTTACTGTTATGACTTGTGACTTTATTTTCTCTTTTAAATATAAATATACGTTTCAATATAATTTTTACCGATTAAACTTTTTTTTATATATAAATCATTTATTTTAAAAATTTATTTTTCTTTGCATACAACGTGTTTGTCAAAACATACTTTTATGCAACTTATATATATATAAAAATATTGTAGGATAAGAATTAAAACGTCGATCCAATTTGGAGAGGCCACGCTACAGAAATAGCTAATAATCCTAACGATAATATATTTAACATAACAAAATTTGATGGGATTCGAATTCATAAATCCAAAAGAATTGTATGAGTTCGTCACAGATAATAAGTCTAATATCCTAATCAGAAAACTATATCTAAAACAGTAAAAATCTACCATCAATTTGCAGAGCATGTAATATATTTGTCCGATTATTCTCCCTTTTCCCTTTAATCATTAATATTTTTTTCCTCGAAGGCAAAAGAGAAGGATAAAGACTCATGATCAAAGTATGTTCTGGTTCAAAGAACTAACCACGTCCAGGAAGCACTATTTTATGGGAAGGAGCGGTTGTCATTATCCATCCATTCTTATCTTGCTTGCTCGCGTTTATCCTTGATTTTCCTTAGATATTGAAGACTAGTCTACTGCTTTCCCAGCTGCTTCAAGCTGCGCCATCAAATCTCCAAGCTGCAAAATCCATGGAAAAAATAGCCACACGAGATTGATAACGATGCAAACTTGACTATAACAATTATCAATGCTGCACCTAAATCTGTTAAAAAAATCCAAATAATGGCTTACCTGTGCCTCCAGGGCCTGAATTTTATCATTCTTTAATCTCAAAACATTCTTTTCCCTGACAAAGTTCAATCTCAAAGTTACATCAGATAAAACAAAAAAGTACGACACTCATTAACCTGTCTTTTGCCAAACAATACTAGTTCATTAGGAATTTGAGTCTCGAACTACCATTCCCGCATAGAATCAGTTTTCATGCGGTAAAAATTTACAACTCTAAGCATCTATGGTGATCGAAAGGACATCAGATATGTTATTGGGTTTCCCTCTATAGATTCATATGAAACACTTTTCCAACACCGGGGTTGTGTTCTGGGTCATAAGATGTAATTTGAACCTAAAGGCCAATCACAAGGGATAAAATCAGATCGTGTTGCACAAATAAATTCTACAATTTAAAACAAAAAGAGCCCACAAACAAACAAGATTTTCAAAGATGCCAGCTTGTTACATGGAAAATTACCGCTTGATGTTCTAATTCTTCCAAGTATATTTTTAACTGATTTTGTCACCATCATTCACGAAACCTTTTCCCTTTTCCTTGGCGACATCGATAGGTTCAATAAAATGGCTTACAAAATATATTCCAAAATTAATCCAGTCTTAAATTAAAAGTGTTTATCTTAAATGTCATATACAAGTTTCAAAACCATAAAACTCCAAATACAATCTTTGCTTGCCTAGAAAAAAGAAAATGCGAGAAGAGTCCAGCCACCCAAATACACATCTAATGACTATCAATATCCATTTCCCTCATTCACATTGCAATATACATGATTACCCATTGTAAAGTGAGAGACGTCCACCCCCAACAATACAGTGAATGGCATGTGATGGAATAAATCTGAAGTGTTAACATAGGCATAACAAAATTTGTCTGATAGCATTATCTTGTAAAATATTCCTATAAATTTTCAAAAGTTCATTGAAGTTACAAAAGTACCCTTACAATTTAACAGCATTCAAGTGAGTAAAAAAAAATACTAGCCATACCTCTCTCCAACTTCCAACAGCTTTGCTTTCCATATCTCTTGGTTTTTCAAAAGATTCTCATTGAGCTACAGGCAGAAACAACAAAATTTGTACTAAACTAATATGTTAAAGAAAAGAAGTACATATGAAATCAGCTAACAAATAGCGCATGTCTTGGGCTCAAGAGCTTATTACTTACATCCTCAAGAAATTTCTTTTCCTTCACACATCTTTCGAGCTTGGCCTGCATTTTCTGCCGCTTTTGTATGGCAGCCTTGTTAACAGCATCAGCAATTGCCCTCTCAGTTTCTTCATTCTCTTGTTGAAGCAAAGTCTCAAAATACTATAATCAAATCAAGATCGCATTAACGAAAAGCTTAAAGGGTAACCCTTTCTCTGTTAGAAAAAAGAGGGCAGCAAACTCTTACCACTTTTTGGTTCTCAAGCTGGGTCCGAAGTAGTTCATTGTATTCATTAACAATCTGTGAAAAAAAAAGACCAGAATATTACACAATAGAAACAAAAACAAAAGATAAAGTAAACTATAGAAAATTTACAACCTCGGCTTCGCAGCTCAGCATTGCCTCATTAGTTCCAGAATCTACACAGTGACAGTTCCCACAGCCATCATTAGCAGCATGCAGACAATGTGAATTCAATTCCACTAGCTTGCCATCAGTTTTGGATTGAATTAGTCTATGAACATAATTGTCACCAGCATAATCCCAGACACGCTGTGTTTCCAGTTCAAGAGAATAGCAGTGCTGTGTTTCTTTCCAATGTATTATAGCATGTCCCCCTTTATACCTACATTAATATTTTGCTTCTAAGAAACGATGCAACATACATAAGAAAAATATTCACCAGAGAAAAGAAAACTCTTACCTTCCACAACCAACAAAACCACAGATGACACAAATCCAAAGATTCTCAGAAGTCTGACATATGAAGCATTTTGACTTTTCAGGCTGTTGTTGGCAATACCGGCATACCTGAAACAAAATAATTTAACATTCAATATACTCCAATTGCTTTCTACTCATAAAGAGCAGGTTTGAAATCAATTTCACAAGACACAAAAGTAGTATGCTCGCAAATGACTGAAAAAATTAAATACTAGAAATAAAATCATTGTCACTTACTGGACAAGAAGAATCAGTCCATTTTGAAATACAGGAGCAATGGAATGAATGATTACAGATGGTTGTGAGGATTCCACTAGCATCCTGGTCTAATCTCTCTGTAACATAAGGCAAAAAAAAAAAAAGAGGAATGTGATGCCATCTACAGTTTCCTGCCCCACAGAAATATGCACTAAGCTTGCAAAAGCTATATACAATGATCTCACTAGAGGCATAGAACCGACTTCAGGAGAAGTATGCAAGAAAAAAGGAAACATACAGACAGTTAACTGAATAAGAAAACAGAGCACCAAGAAGACAGCACTGAGGGCATCGTGTGGTATGGTACATGTGGTGAAGCCTGTTAAAAAGATGTAGAACAGAAGGGCAATGTGTAATGATTTGACAGAAGTTGGTGTGCCCTTGCAAGCACATCAGTACCAATTAAGAGTTACGAACCTTGGTTTGATCTGGTACGCATTCCACTAGATTATTGACACTTTATATCATTAACATTGGGCTGGCAGAAAATTATGGTTTGACCAATGCAATTTGACTCTTAACAAATTTACTTTGCAGAGTAGATACAGTTGGCCATTAAACAGGCCAAAAAGAAAACTACAAAGATTCACCTTATTAATTGCTTGGCAGCTTTAAACGAGTAAGTCCTTTAAAGGGATGGCCAAGTTGTACAAATACAGTAGTTAAAGTCACAATATCTATTTCTTTTTTCCAAAAGGATTGATCACATTAATCTACGGAAACTTCAACATAGAGAAGTAATGAAAAAGGGTACTGTATAGGGAGAAGGAATATAATTCAAAAGCATAGGTGAAGAAGGCACCTAGACAAACTGGACATGAAGGCTGCTCAGTAGAACTTGCAGGGGGAGACTGTACATGGTCAAGAGAACCAGTGTAGCCTGTGAACTGCACATCCAGTGTGAAAAGCACACGACAGACTTCTTCCTAAATAAACCCAATATCAGTAAAATAACTCACCTAAAGAAACAATAAATAATGAAAACATTATAAACACAGATAATCTAATCAACTCTAAACCGTTCCAATTAAGAAAAAGAAGCCCTACCTCAAGTGAACTAAATTGCCTGTCGTTGAAATGCTGATAGAATTTATCTGTGGATTCTTGACTATCAAATCTTATTAAAACACTATAGCGGTCCTCCATTCCATCATTCCTAATCATCAACATAAAAGACAGAAATAAAAATTCAAAATCTCAGTCAATGAGCATAATCAACTCCAATTACAGAAGTTTTATCTAAACAAAGGCGAATTAATGCATATTATCTCAACACAACTATTTTAGTAATGCATTAAAATCGATTTCAGAAAGGATGATAAACTTCGAAATATGTCAACCTTTTTTACCTGACAATTCTCATCTCCAATATGTGATGGATAAACGAAGCACAAAACTGACAGAAATCGGCGTATGTCATGTGGTTCGGCACCCCTAGAACACATGCAAGAGGTTTCCGTTCAACCTATAAACAATTAAAATAATCTCAAATTACAGAAATAACAGTAACTCCAGCAAACTCTCCTCAATGAGTTAAATTGTCAGCAAAATGAATAAGAAAAACTGGATATTATTCTGCACAAAACAAAAGAAGTACCAAGATTTCTCAAAGAATGAATAAAAAAATGGAAGAGCTTACGGGAAGGGTGGAAACGGCGTCATTGGAGAAGAGATGCATAACTCCACGCGTCTCTTCAATTCTAGGGTTTCCAGAAGAGAAAGAGATGGCCTCCGTGTTCATGTTTGGAGATGTTAGGTCGCCAGTTATAGCAGTCTATGAGTGCCAAAACTTCTCGTCACCGGTGACTCTGCTTGAGCTTGATGAAATTGCCTTGTTTCTTGAACTTTGTGGTTTAAAAGGAAAATTCTACAAGTCAAAATTAAATTGCGGGTATATGAACCACGAAAGAATGGGGTTCTTTCTGTGCGAGAGACATCGTGCGTTCTGTTAAAAGAGCCCAATCAAAAAATGGCACGTCAGAAGGTAAAATACAGTCACTTAATTATTTACTTGATTATAAATAAATTGTTTTTTCTTTTAAAAAAGTATAATTTAGTTAATAAAATGCTACTATAAATAATCATTAACGGTTAAATATTATATAGAATAATGTTATAATATAATAAAAAAATTTGTTTATTTTATCAATTTAATATTAATTAAAATAATTAAATAAATTAAATAATTTATATTTATAATATTTATAAATTTAGTATTTTTTTTCTCTTAAATTGTTTATTCTACTCTTATAAATATTATATTATTTTTCTGGTATGATAATAATTAATCGTAACTTGTTGTTACATTATGATAAAGTCTAATTATCCAACTACAACTTTAATAAGTTAAACTCGTTCACTTTGACATTATTAAAAAAGTTAAACTGATAGATTTTTTAAATATAAATGGTTATATCTTTATATTTATTTTGAATTAAAATTAAACTGATACAATGAATAAGTGATTGTAAGGGTGATTGGACATTTATTGTCAAATGATTTAGAATATTTAGAACATATATTACTTTGTAATCATTTTAGCTTAAAAGGGAAAAAAGGATTAAAATGATTATTATACATATTTACATTAGTTTTTTTTTTAAAAAAAACAAATCTAGATCTAAACTCACGCACATGCAAGTATTATGTTGTTCATACTTAGATTACCAAAAGATAATAAAATTTCATTTAACCACTGCAACTACTCCAATAATTTTTATATTACTATTTCAATTTTAACGATAAAATAATATATTTATAATAACATTTTAACTAAGTGATTGAATTATTTATTTTAAATAACTGATTTATTTTAGATAATTTATTTATAATTAAATTAATAATTGAGTCATATGTATTATATTTTACCCTTATTTATAATAGATTGCATGTTGTATTTGTTGAATACAATCGAGGGACGGACGTAGAAATTTATGTCAGGGTGTGAATTTAAAAAGTTATATTAACATTTTTAGGAGGTGTGAAATTAGATAATCAATAAAAATATAAAAAAAATCTAAAATATAAGAGAATTCTAAATTTATATGAGTGCGATCGCATCCCACAACACTCCCCGTGTCCATCTCTGATACACCCTCATAACTTTTTAATTTAGACGACTGTTGAATTGTTTGATTTATATATTTATTACATATAAATCTATTTATAGATTGTATCATAAGAATCGAATATAAATTAAAACATACTAATAACTAAAAAATATTGATTTATTATATAAAGAAAAATGATTAAATAACACTAACAATTATCTCAAATAAGAACCACTCAGTATTCAATTCCATGGTAATGGCATTCGTTAAGGAAGACAAACATTAGTGAAAAACCCTCAAAATAAAAATTTTTGGATTTAACATCGCCATGGTATTATCAATGGATCAAGTAAAAACAAGAAACATACAAAGTTGCGTTTCTTAACTGTTTTAAATTTAATAGATATTCTCAGCGTCTTAAAGAGTCGATAATGCTTTCAGATATTTCTAGATTCAAATCACAATCATTCTCTTTCTCCCTTCAGTTTTAAAAAGAATGGTGTTTTCGATCTTGATTTGCAGTTAAAACACCAAGAACATGTTTGTTTAGATTGTTCATCCCGGAGGTATCGTGGAACTCCATGACCGGCCTATTCTTGATGTGGGGATAATCTACAGGAACCCGAGGTGTGTAGTATTAAATTAATTGCGGCTGTAATGCAGTGTAACGACCTATGTTGCACTGACACGGATAAGGAGATGGATAAGGGGACGGGACGGGGACGAAAAACGACAATTTTTAAAATTACAGGGTGTCAGAACAGTCTTTCAGGTGGGTCCGGAATTGGGCTACGACTTAAGAAAATAGATTGGAGTCGCCACCGATCATTTTAAAAAAGTTTAGGTAGATCGGACACCATCTTATCTGATCTGCGTTTAACCAGAAATGTGTCGGGTTCGGGAGTCGGTTATAGTCAATGAATGATTAGCACCCTTAAACTACCCTTTCGGTACCAATTAATTTGTCGGTTGTCTTAATTGCGAAAATTAAAATTAAAATTAAAACTTAAAATTCAATTCGATATAATTACCTTTGATCGATTGAAAATATCCCTAAAAAATCAAAAAATGTTAAATACGGAATAATAAATAAATATTAAATAAATGAAAGGAAGAAAAATAAAGAAAATATTAAATAAATCAAAATAGAAAGAAAAAATAATGAAATAAATAAATAAAAACCCATAATAGATGAAGGACCATGTGATGAATTAACCCAAAGTTCAAAAGCATGGGATTTATTTGGTTTTCACGCCAACTTGATAAGCCTTGTCACCTTCTCACTTCTGGCAAAAACAAAACAACGCAGGCTCATAAGTACGAAGCTGAGGAGTAGCCTGATAATCACTCAACGTTTTAAAATTTTCAAAAGCGTAATCCCCATTGTCTTTGGCCGCGGCTAAATGGGAAATGGGTATAACAAAAGCTTCGTTTCAGTCCCCTGATTTCATTTTCGGGGATGATTTCGTATGAAAATCTTTCAATCAACGCAAATTGGGTCCCAACGTTAGATCATCGTCGGTTACAAATGGGTTGCTACCCATGTTATTTCGAGACTACACACCATTCGAATCGATTAAATGAACCTTCAATCTTGGGGAAACACCCAAAGCCGAAAGGTAAGCTTCCCTTTTTCTTCTCTTTTCTTTTCTTGTAGTGACCATGTCTCTTCCATTCGCCACCGGTCATGGGTGGTTCTTTCGTGGAGAGTTTTCATTCATGGTGGAGTTGTATTCTACTGCTTTAAGTCTCATATTGCTTGGGATTTGAATTGTTTGGATGGCAACATGGGGTTGTTTGGTGGTTTATAGAGGTTAGAGTGCCCGAGTTGTAGAGTTGAAAAAGGGGTTAACTAGGTGGATGTTGAGAATGAAGATACTACTTCAAAAATGTGTGGAATGAATGATAGTGGTAAAAAGGGGGTTAGCAACGCTGCTCGTCACGGTCTTTCTCATCATCTCCTTTGTTTTGTCTTTGATCTTGTCCCCCAAAAAATAGAAAGAAAATGTAATTTAAAGAAGAGAAAATCGCCTCAGTGACCAAAAAAAAGTTATAATATACGATTTTAACCAACTTTTTTTGGATTTGCCAAAATGACCAACAAAATCGCAACGCGAAATAAAAATCGCAACGCGATCCCCAGAATCGCAAATCAGTTTCCAGAATCGCAAATCAGTTTCCAAAATCGCAACGCGATTCTTGAAAATCGCGATGCGATAGTACAAATTCGCATTGCGATTTTCCATAATCGCAACGCGAATATGAAAATCGCAACGCGAACACATAAATCGCAACGCGTATCCGTAAATCGCAACGTGTATCCGTAAATCGCAACGCGTATGGGTAAATCGCAATGCGTATCCGTATATCGCAACGCGTATCCGTAAATCGCAACGATAATACATAAAATCGCAACGCGTATCCGTAAATCGCAACGCGATATTTAAAGCGCCATTATAATCGCTACGCGTATTTTATTTTCAAATTACAAAAAGAATATTAAGACAAAATCCCGTAATCGCAACTCATAACCTAAAACCTAAAATCACAACTCAGTCCCATCTCCATCTCTCACTCTCTACGGCGAAGAAATCCGTCCCCATCTCCGAAGATTTTCGTCCCCATCTCCGGCGAAATCCCTCACAACCATTCACGGTCAGAAATCCCTCACAATATTCAGAAATGGAAAATCAACCTCCGAGGGTTAGTTTTTTTAATTATTTTTATTTTGAAATGTTTGCATTATTGTAGGTTTTTCATATTGAAACTGATGATAAGTTTACTGGTCATTTCAATAATAGATTAACCATTTCACTTAGATTTCATTTCGCGTTACGATTCTGTCGTTGCGATTTTCATTTCGCGTTGCTATTCTCTCGTTGCGATTTTCAAGTTAGTATTTGTCTTTGTCTTTGTTCTGTCTTTTGGTTGAAGTAATGCAATCCATTCAAGTTTCAATTTGCAGAAGAGTCGCAACGAGATAAATGAAAATCGCAACGAGAGAATGACTGTCGCAACGAGAGAATCGCAACGCGAAACCAAAATCGCATTGCGATTTTCATTTCGCGTTGCGATTCTCTCGTTGCGATTTTCATTTCGCGTTGCGATTCTCTCGTTGCGATTGTCATCTCGCGTTGCGATTCTCTCATTGCGATTTTCATTTCAACCAAAAGACAAAACTTGTTGCAAATTTTAGTTTCAAGAATAAACTACTACTTTTTATGTTTATTGTTTTTGGTATATCTTCACAGTGTAGTTTTTGGTATATCTAACTTGGTATGTTTATTGTTTTTGTAGAAATTTTTTTCGGCTCAATTGACCTTGAGAAATAAAGTCAGCCTGGCCACTACAATTGCAAAGAAGCTTTCACCTGCTCAAAGACAATTGTTTGAGGAAACCTGCTTCGGGCCATGGCTGAGAGTACAGCATCCGGGTGGAGATGCTAATTCAGACCATGACATCAAATCTACCCGACAGTATACAACGTGGTGAGGAAGAGATATGGTTTCATTTTCCACCAGCGTATACTTGCTTTGGGCGGAAGGAGTTCTGCTTAATCACTGGTCTACGATTCGGACACGATGATGTAGGCCGGTACACTCGTCATATCGCCCGCCCATCATGGTTATCCCGGGTTTTTCCGGATGAGTCAATGGAGAAGCCGAACCTACATGTCGACGACCTGAAGAAATTATTTAATAAGAAAGCTGGTTTCACTCGGATGGAAGACGTCGATGTTGTCCGAGTATGCCTTCTACTACTTGTGTATGCCGGCTTTTTAGGCAGAGAGGCCAGACAACCTATTCATCGGGAGCTAATAATATTGGTAGAGGACCTGAATGCATGGAATCTGTTTCCGTGGGGTTCGTATATATGGAAA